CTCTCTCTCTCACACACACACACACACACACTCTCTCTCTCTCTCTCACACACACACACACACTCTCTCTCTCTCACACACACACACTCTCTCTCACACGCACACGCACACACACACGCAATTAGTTTCATGTATGTCTTCCTTCTTGCTTTTTGTATGTCTTTTTCATTTGTTCTTGTACGCCTTTTTCTTTTTCCCCCTTTTTTTTTTTCCAAGTACCAAGCGAGCACTTCTAAGTTCTAACCAGTGCTAAACATTGGTAGTTCTTGTCTGGAATGCCGACTTCCCTAGTAGGGAGCCCGCTCGGTTCGTGATGTCTGTGATGCCTGCTTATAGGTGTTGATAGATGTTTGTCGGAGCGTCTCCCTGACTCAGAAGGTTGCAGGAACCAACAGTCTGCATGGTTCTACTTGTGGTGTGGTAGGTGATGTATTGCTTTGGTCCATGTTGGATGTGCGGACTGCCTTGTCTGCGCTCCTCCGCTGCCTTGCTCCCCACAAGCCCCTCCCTGCTTCACTGTGCTGTTCCCTCGCTGCCCGTCCGCTTCTGCTTGGTACCATGCAGTAGTTTCAGACAGAAGACCGCTGGACCCTTTTCTGTTTGGCATCGGGCAGAGCGAGGGACTGCGAACGCCTTGAAACGTTCGCGCAGGCCGGCCGTCCCCCAACGGTTACCGTTGCCGTGAATTCCCTCAAAGTCGAACGTTGGCGGCCGAACATGTCTGTGCAGTGCCCGGTAGGAACTGCATTGGACCTGCCTCACAAAAAATTGTCGTCGTCGAAGGGTGCCACGCCGTCTCGATTTACGCGGATTCTCGACCTCCGAGGGACCTCGGGGATCGCCGCCAAATGCCTATAGCCCGAGGACGCCCCGAGGACAGCCCGAGGAAATGTTTTCACATTTGGTTTTCGGGGATCGTCCCCCGAGGATAGGTGGAATGATGATTTCCTCGAGGGATTTACGCGCAAGAGGGGTGTCTAACGAGCCCCTCAATCCTATTCTCTTTGCTAGTGGGACCTTGTTCCAGTTCTTTGCTGCAAGCTGCTGAACAAGCTTCAGAATCTGTGTTTTTCCATAGAGAACACAAAGAGGGATAAAAAGACACTAAATAAAACCGGCGGTGTTCATGTGCATTTCCTTTAGTTTCTGTTTCTAACTCTCTCACTCTTTCTTTCTTCTTCTTCTTCTTCTTCTTTTTTTTTTTTTTTTTGCAAACATCGGCGACGGGGTGTAGAGGGGGTGCTGATATGAGCAGACACTCCCTCTACGGTTCTCACTCTTGGATGGCTCCGTCCATTCCATTGGTGGGGAGCTGCACCTGCTGAAAACCGGGTCCAGCGTTCCTTGAGATCAGAGACAGGAGCCTGAGTTACATTCGAAACATACAGTTATGTCTTATGTTCAGGAGCCCTATCTGACCGATTCTACCATCTCTTTCCTTTTTTTTTAATAAAAAACGCCAGGAAACAGGCCTCAGCTGGTGTCCCTTACAAAAGGAAGGTGGTCCTGTTTATGGGCGAGACAACACCAAAGAGAAAATTGAATTGAACCAACCAACTGTGAAGAAGAGAACCCAGCCATCATAAAAAATTGGTAGGCGCCAACCCTAATACTTCAAGGAAAAAGAACCAGAAACTACTTTCCCTCTCTTTTTTAAATATAGGACTCCAAACACGTAATCCAAATAAGGGCCTACTCACACTAGCTAAGGGCCTTCTATGGCAAAATAGCTAAAATTTGATGGCTGGGCTGGTCGCACTAGGCAGGGAAAGTGGCAAAAGCAGCAAACGGGGTATCAAATGTCGGCGGCTTGGCGCCGCGCGGGCATTTTGCTACCACCTCTGGAGCATGGTCCCATTAGCAGCCGGATAGGAGTTTGGCCGATCCAGTGTGACACTTAGTGGCAGCGGGCTGACAGGTTCAGTACGAATTTCTGAGCTGAGAAAACAGGAGAAAGGCAAAAAAAAAGAAAAGAAACAGAGACCTGCCACAGGAAATCACGGCAGAGTGCTTCTCAGCCATCAGATCACAGATGGTCTGATGGTGGTGGTTGCAACAACAGTGAACAAAGTAACTGCACATTTTCTGGAATAAACTCGACTTCTGTCAGCAGTGATCCTGACACCCTCCATATACTCCGTGATTGAAGGAGGGCTCCACCCAATGAGATAATTGCACAACAGCAAGTAAAATACTGAAAATCTTCTATCCAGTGGGCCTATGGCCGACCCCACCGTCTTTTGGGGTTGGCCACACCCCCAACCGATTGAAAAGATTCTGGCGGGAAGCTTTCTTTGCACGGGCATGCCCAGTGTTAAGGAGAGAAGGAGCGGAACAAAGATCTGCTTACATTTTCGGGTAATACGTGTAAACTACTGACCATGGGATCGCGAGTACTGCACGGCAGGATTTGGGTCACTCAACTGTCGCACAAACTTGTTTCTATCCTATTCCGTTGCTAGTGGGACCATGCTCCTGGAGGTGGTAGCAATTCTTTTTTTTCAGTTCAAGAGTTCGTGAAAGGAAATTCGGAACAAACTTTGTTGGGAAAAAAAAAATAAAAAAAATGGAAGAAAATAAAAAGTTTGAAGGATTTGGGGCCTCGCGCTGTATGACCACATGAGACACCAATTTGGCCATCGCCAGAAAGTCCGGCTCGTGTCTTTTGTGATTTGTTTGCTGCAGCTATGTGACCGGGCGGGGTGGCATTTCAGCAATTTAAATCGGATATCAAAATTCACAGATTTTGCTGCTATGTGTGGCATACTGCATAGCCACACAGGCCCTGCAGGGCCCGTCCCGGACATTCAGCCTAAAAGCCTAAAACTTAGGGCTTACAGGCCCCTGTCGTTTCAGCCTGAAAGCTGAAAAACGAGGGCCTGCAGGCCCTACTCCGTTTCAGCCTACCCAGAGTTTTTCCAGCCTGAAACGGAGGGCCATTTTCAGGCCCTCATTGTTTCGACCTGCCCCTAAGACTCAGGCACGTAAACAGGGATGCGGAACAGGCCAGAAATAGCCTGTTCCTCACGAGCTCGAGCAGGAGCTGCAGCGGCAGCCCCTGACTCCGATAGGCATTGGCAAGAGCAGCCTCCTAGACTGCTCGCCTGCAGTCAGGAGGCACCCGTGGTAGTACATAGGGACTTCCCAGGCACTTCACGGGTAGGTAGTTTTCAGTAGGCACGAGTAGTCTTCAGGATTCGGCCACAGCACTCAGGAGGAGCGCTGCAGTAGTCTTCAGCGCTAGGTAGTAGTTAGCGCTAGCTGTAGTCTTCGGCGCTGGGCGCCCATAGCCATAGTGGTAGTCTTCAGCGCTGGGCGCTATGGTAGGTGGTAGATAGTAGAGTTGGGAGAGACACTGGCAGAGGCAAGTGGTACTTACCTGTGGCGCCATCGCTCCAGCTCCATCTGCGAGGTACCTGCATCAAGGCACCAACTTCACAGGTTAGTACTGGATACACAGAGAGAGAGAGATTCTTCTTCTTCCTCCTCTAAGTCCACCATCTCTTCTCACCCTCTCACCACCTGACTTCTCAGACTACGACAGAGAGAGACAGAGCTGTGACTTGAGACTTGACGACATTGGATCCAGACTTGACATTTGGGATTCAGACATTTCGACGAGGGACTATTTGGGCTTGTGYCGAAGACTTGGTGTTGACGACATTCCCATCTTCCCCCTCCTCTTCGTCTATCCCCTTCCTCTTCGTCTGTGTATGGTATGGGCTGGCGCARTCTTCYTGTGTGAAGCGCCAGRCCCMWTTCACACCATGTAACGATGATGATGATGTATGTTCAGGGCTGCATTGCAACATTGATTGTTCGGATCACTGGTATCTAAGTCTTCCGTTGTGCTATCTTATACTTTGTATTGAAAGGTCGGTTCTTGTTCTGGTCTCCACCTGTCTCTTATACACATCTAGATGTGTATAAGAGACAGCTCATTAGTAACGCAAGTAGGACTTAGTCAAATCTCTGGAAAAAAAATTCTCACAACAACTATCTGAAAATTTCTGATATTCGCATTTTCGTTCTATCTGAAAATTTCTGATATTAGTAGTTCGTTTTYACGTAACAAATATCTGAAAATTTCTGATAAATCGCATTTCGTTTTGTCTGAAAATTCCCGATAGTMGCATTTCGTTTCTCTGATATGTCGCATACATAGCTGAAATTTCTGAAGTTAGTATCTCGTTTTCTAGGGATATTGGGATAACGATAGAAGTGGTCATATTCTCGGAAACTGAAATTATTCTTTTCTGAAAATCGAATTTCCATTCTACCCCGCAAATTTTTTCTGAAACCGAAATCTTGCGAAGCCTACCAATATTGCGTAAGGGATATTCGGAGGTTGCTATATTCTCAGAAACTGGATTTCGTTCTTTTCTGTAAATCGCATCTTCACTCCATTTCACAAAACAATTCTTTCAAGATCGCAGTTTGTAAAAGCCGAAACTTTGCGGAACCTAGCCTAGATCTTGTTCATAGTACTCTTCTGACATGTCCTACTCATAATAGATCGACAGATATAAAAAAAAAAAAAAAAAAAAAAAAGGAAGTAGTCCTCTTTTATTCTTTATTTTATTTTTATCTGTTGATTAGGGCCGGAGGAAAGTATTGTTGGGTTGGTTGTCCACCTACGTGTTCCCTCCCACCCACCCCTTTGCATGCATTTCCAGTTGGTACAGTGCCACGTCAGCAATGCCACGTCAGACACAGTGCCATGTAAGCAGTGCCACGTCAGACACAGTGACACGTCAGACACAGTGCCACGTAAGCAGTGCCACGTCAGACACAGTGCCACATCAGACAGTGCCACGTCAGACACAGTGACACGTCAGCAGTGCCACGTCAGACAGTGCCACGTAAGCAGTGCCACATCAGCAGTGCCACGTCAAACACAGTGACATGTCAGCAGTGCCACGTCAGACAGTGCCACGTCAGACAGTGCCACGTCAGCAGTGCCACGTCAGACACAGTGACATGTCAGCAGTGCCACGTCAGCAGTGCCACGTCAGCAGCATGACGGGCCTGCCCGGCCAACTGGCCAATGAGCCCATTGCCGACTACAAGAAGCGCTTCCAGGCTCAGCTCGCTGTAATCGAGGCTGAGGAACAACGCCAGCTGGCAGCCAAGGCCGCCCAGCTACAGGTTGACGAAGCGGCAGCAGAAGAGAAGCTGCGGCTACAGGCCGAAGCAGACACAGATGCCTAGGCTCGCCGCAAGGAAGCCTAGGATCTGCTGCAGCGGCATGAAGCCAACAGCATCGAGAGACTCAAGTTCTGGCACTTTGAACCGAAAGGCGACGAGGCAACACCGGAAGAACAACATAAGGAGTTCATGGCCAAGCTCGTGACCAGGTTGGTTTACACATGTAACCACCTACAGTCCGAGCTGGCGAACCTCCAGCGGGCCGTGCGGAACCATAAGTCTCAGCACGAGGATGCCACACGGGCACTGGACGCCCGTGTACACGACTTGGAACAAGTTCCACCAAGACCAGATGTTGGGGCTTCCAGCAGTGCATCCTCTAGCCGCCAACTGGAGGAACGCGTTGACCACGTGGTGGCAATGCTCGGCAACATCAGCACCTTTGCTGCGCCGACCACCATCAGCAGTCAGCTGCATAACTTGAAGACCGAGGTCCAGCAGCTACAATCAACGAACGCGGATGACAATCCGAAGATGTACAAGATGCCAACTTTCCAACTGGACAAGTTCGACGACTACACGCAGCAGGATCCGGTCCTCTGGTGGGA